AATCAAAGCTCTTCAGTTTAGAATCTATGTGCAATAAATGAGTGGCGATTCGTAATTTCCACATGTCTTATTTTTAGCGCATTTCCACAAAAATAAACAACAATGCGCTATTGTGGCCACTTTGTCCGTCCGTCCGATCGTTCGTTGAGACGCTACTCTTTATCTTAATTGCTATTGTTCTACTTTTTTTCGCTATTTGGTTCGTTATGGTGTCGAGGCTTGCACCAAGGAAGGAATTTTTTCTGTACCGCTTACAAAAAAAGTTATTGTAAAAAAACCAAAAAACCGTTTTTTACATGTTCCATAATTTTACACTTTTGCCGTTTATTAACGATCCTAGAGATCGTTTATATTCTATTGCTGCCTGTCGTCTGTCTGTTGATCTGTCCGTCTGTTCCTTTGCCTGTCTGTCCTTCTATCTGTCCGTGTGAACGATAACTTTAGAAATGTCCGATCGCTTTGACATCTCCGTTAGTTATGAACTGAATTGCATGAAATTCAATATGGGCATAGCGTTAGCCATATAATACGCAATGCCAAAAGTGGAGTCGAATGGATTCAAAATTCACAGGTGCCCTTTTCGCATCTCGACCATTTAGCAACCGAATTGCAAACTTTTTTATTTATAAAAGTATTGGACTTGTAATAAAAGCAAATGTAGCGCCATTTTCCAAATTTGGTTTTGTGTAGGATGTGCACTGTGCAGTGCCAACTTTCTTATTTGTGGAAGAAATTTCGTAAGGGTGTTTAAAAAATGCGCTTTATTTGCACAAGGGTTGTGCACAATTTGTACTTGTTTTATTATACCTGAATCACAATCTCCGTTTTAAACACTCAAATGCGTACGAAAATAGTTATTTGTGTACCAAGGCCGTAAAAGTGATCTTTTTTGGCCGAAGCTGCTGTTTGTGGCCGAGGCCCTAGCCGAGGCCGCAATTCAGATGAGGCCTAACAAATCACTTTTGGCCAAGGTGCACACAACATTTTTTAGGCGATCATCAAAAAAGAATTCAAAAATTTGCTCATAAACATATTTTTTCTGAAAAAATCATAGTTATCTTAGACAATTAAAAACAAAGCAATTCCTGTCGTATGTAATAAATTATAATTAGCATCTTTGCGTGTGTTTTGTGCGTATCAAAATGGGTGATAGCGACAGTTCAGGATGAAATTTTGGAAGCTGCAAGCTTGCGAACCTAAGCCATATATGATATAAGAGCTGGCGTTTGAGAGTAAAAGTACAATCGCAACTTCCTCCATTGCACAAGATTTTAATAATGTCAAATGCAATAGGTCCTTCGTAACTGTGGCTTCCAAGACCTTATAGTTAACATGCTGTACAATTATTAGAAACCTGATTACCTACTTTGATGGCAGGTATAGGTAGCTACTTGTGTTCTCGGTCAATTGCTGGTGATTCTTCGCATAATAATGTAAGCAATAACATCTTCCTAATGTTTTGGTTCTACACTTCAAAAAGGTCTGCAAGCAGCAAAGATTGAAACGTCAAACTATAATTTTAAATGTGAACATTGTGATTATGCAAAATAGTGTGAAACATTCATACAAGTCCGAAAATGAAAAAAACGCACGTGGATGGCCCAATCCTTGATGGGGCTAGACCAGATAGACGCTTTGTATTAAACAGATTACTGTTTCTCACACATCAGTTTCAATTCAAATAAGTAGCTACAGTTTGACAGATGTGTACAATAAAGTAAAGTTTGACAGAAGCGTACAATAAAGTTAAACTTTATGGCCGCAAAAGCGTCCACAAAATCAACGTTTTTGTGATGATAGCCTAAAAAAGACCTTTTTAGGCTATCATTACAGCTTTTGCGGCCATAAAGTTTCACTTTATTGTACGCTTCTGTCAAACTTTACTTTATTGTACACATCTGTCAAACTGTACCTACTTATTTGAAACTGATGTGTGAGAACCAGTAATCTGTTTGATAGAAAGCGTCTATCTGGTCTGTCCTCATCAAGGATTGGGTCCATCCACGTGCGTTTTTTTCATTTTCAGACTTGTAGGAATGTTTCACACTATTTTGCGTAATCACAATGTTCACATTTAAAATTATAGTTTGACGTTTCAATCTTTGCTGCTTGCTTGCTTTGCTGCTGCTTTTTGAAGTGTAGAACCAAAACATGAGGAAGATGTTATTGCTTACAATATTATACGAAGAATCACCAGCAATTAACCGAGAACACAAGTAGCTACCTATACACCTACCATCAAAGTAGGTAATCAGGTTTCTAATAATTGTACGTTAACTATAAGGTCTTGGAAGCCACAGTTACGAAGGACCTATTGCATTTGACATTATTAAAATCTTGTGCAACCGAGGAAGTTGCGATTGTACTTTTACTCTCAAACGCCTGCTTTTATATCATATATGACTTAGGGTCGCAAGCGCAACGCTTGCAGCTTCCAAAATTTCATTTGGGGTATCTGAACTGTCGCTATCACCCATTTTGATACGCACAAAACACACACAAAGATGCTAATTATAATTACATATGACAGGAAATGCTTTGTTTTTAATTGTCTAAGATAACTATGATTTTCAGAAAAAATATGTTTATGAGCAAATTTTTGAATTCTTTTTTGATGATCGCCTAAAAAATGTTGTGTGCACCTAGGCCGAAAGTGATTTGTTAGACCTCATCTGAATTGCGGCCTCGGCTACCGCCTCGGCCACAAACAGCAGCTTCGGCCAAAAAAGATCACTTTTACGGCCTTGGTACACAAATAACTATTTTAGGCTATCATCACAAAAACGTTGATTTTGTGGTCGCTTTTGCGGCCATAAAGTTTCACTTTATTGTACGCTTCTGTCAAACTTTACTTTATTGTACACATCTGTCAAACTGTACTTATTTGAAACTGATGTGTGAGAAACAGTAATCTGTTTGATACAAAGCGTCTATCTGGTCTAGCCCCATCAAGGATTGGGCCATCCACGTGCGTTTTTTTCCATTTTCGGACTTGTAGGAATGTTTCACACTATTTTGCATAATCACAATGTTCACATTTAAAATTATAGTTTGACGTTTCAATCTTTGCTGCTTGCAGACCTATTTTTGAAGTGTAGAACCAAAACATGAGGAAGATGTTATTGCTTACATTATTATACGAAGAATCACCAGCAATGAACCGAAAACACAAGTAGCTACCTATACCTACCATCAAAGTATTTGCGGTTGTACTTTTACTGCTAATTATAATTACATACGACAGGAAATGCTTTGTTTTTAATTGTCTAAGATAACTATGATTTTCAGAAAAAATATGTTTATGAGCAAATTTTTGAATTCTTTTTTGATGATCGCCTAAAAAATGTTGTGTGCACCTTGGCCAAAAGTGATTTGTTAGGCCTCATCTGAATTGCGGCCTCGGCTGCCGCCTCGGCCACAAACAGCAGCTTCGGCCAAAAAAGATCACTTTTACGGCCTTGGTACACAAATAACTATTATTCTATTTTAGATTATAATCCTTTTTATAAGCACCCAAATGAGGGTATTAATTGGACTTTATGGCACAGAATTGTCAAAAATTGCCTAGCAACGATACCGCCACTCGCAAAACTTGCTGTGTTCTTTTTCATATACCTAGATCTTTGGATTTATGAGGAACCACTTTACTTTGTGCGATTTCGAATTCACGTAATATTTCGTCAGAATAAACGTTTTTGCACTCCTTCGTTCTAAATCGCGTTTTCCCAATCAAACACGAACGCCGGGAACGTCAATTTTACAATTGACTATCTACTTTCGCGCACTAGTGCGTTGCGCACTCGCGCCGCCAATCTTCGCGCTCATCTTCAAAATAACTGTTCCCGCACTAATAATGTAAATAACTATTTCCATTTCAGCTACACTCATTTCCAACATTTCCATAGCAACACAAAAAACGCCAACTATCTACACCATTCATATTTGGTTAGCGACAAATTCCTGCAAGAACTACTAATCCCTTTTAACTTTTTAGAAATTGTGTTAAATAGAATAAAACGTTGTATGTACCACGGGCATAATCGATTATGGCCCTCGAGAAATTAAAAGCCCTCCTTCGTCGGGCTTTAAACATTCTCTCGTGCCATAATCTTTCGATTATGGCCTTAATACATAAATAACTATTAAAACACACGTGGGTTAAAGTAATGATACTTCAAGTATGACTTTTGAAACTGTCATTTGGGCGAAATAAAAAATCCTCTTTGTAAATGCAGAATATTTCTTTGGTTGAAGCTTTCACGAACGCGCGTAATTTAGGGTATGCTTCCAAATCCGTTCCACTTTTTAATCGCAGCATTGTTTGACGTTTTGAATGAATGCACCAAAAGAAGATTTAAATACCTTTAAAATTTCCTTCATGTATGCCAGCATTATCGCTGCATTTAAGACTTTATTCGTCAGTAACTTCCTATTCATCCATGGAAACAACATTTTCATATTCTTTATAATAGGTTTTACTGGATTTGGATTTTACACCTACCGACGTTTGTTTAGATTTTACAACAAGCGATTTAATGAACGGTGTATTATCTTTTTCAACGGAAATCGTTTTATTCACAAAGACCATGATTTTTATAAGCAAACTTCAAGTGACATTTCCATGGCAATCGTGAAGTTACGAACATCCAGCCCACTTAATTAGATTCGAGTATAACGTCAATATGATTTCATTGTATTTCCTATTTTTAAATTATACTGCAGGTATAATACAAGATACTATAAGATACACGTGTACCTATAATTGGTCTTTAAAGCACTTGCAACGTTAAAGGCATTCCGCTTCGCGTCGTGCCATTCTGAGAATTGGCTATCTACGATTTTTAAAATCAGGCAGGAAAATCCCTGCCTCTCCTTCTTTGCAATGTTCTCGCATAAAGAAGCCCCCAATAAAATCTCGCAATTATAATTAGATTGGACACAACCGAATGTTGTAAATAGATCGATACCTTGAAACACGCATTATTCGCTGTTCAACTTACCATCGTTGCTTACCCGACGAGATCGTCTCGATGGAGCACTTTTGGCAGACGAACCGCTGACAGTCGACGCACCTCGCCTTTTGGGACCCCAAGATCCCGAAACGATCCCCGCAAAGCAAACACTGCGACGTGCTACGTCCCAAAACGTTGCGCCGCATATTTTCTAATCTCTCAATTAATTTTCCAACCTAAAAGCGATTACGTAGGGATAGCGCGCTCGGTCTTCTTTTGATAAGTTTATTTATATCACCCTTTCCTGCTCCACGATATCCAACTGTTCCGCGCGACGGATGACCTCGAGGATCGCCGTTTGCTCGTCATCTCTCAAGGGTGCCGGAGATGATTTGTATCCGAAGGTTGAGGTTTTCACGCTCCATCCCGTTTTCAATCTGTAAAAAAGCAATTTTTTTAAATCACCGAAATGACGCGTGCACCCAAAAGGAGACAAACTTACTTCGCCCGAAGTGCGAGCTGACGGTCATTGGGGCACACGAATCTGCTCCCCCCGGTCCCAAATCCTAAGTCGACCATTTTGGGCTCACTCCCCGTTCAAAACTCGCAACATATTGAAGTAAACGCGCGCGCGAACGAAACGAACCACGTCGTCACGTCGGAGGCGTCTTGAAAACTAAACCGCCTGTTGCTTCGCCTGTTGCAAATAAATAGCGTCGCGACGTACGGCACGTCACTAATCGATATCATACAAAATTGTGTCAAATATGATGTGTGCAATCACATCCTTTTCGCGTATTCATGTCACGAACATCGTCTAATTAGAGCGAGAAGCAAACCGAATTCTGATGGTGGTAGGTAATTTGCGTGAGGGAGTTAATTGGTAATTACATGTTTTCGAAGTTGCTGTGCGCGTGAAGCACCTTTTATGACAAACAAACGAGATAATGACGTGTTAGGCTGTCATGTCGCATTAAAGGCGGCTTTATCGCGGTAATTACTCATATAGTTTGAGTTGAGGGGTGCGTTGCACTGTTTGCTATCGATCGGGTGGTCGATGTACACAAGTTTGGTTTTAAGCTAAAAGCGTTTTAGTTTGATGGGCCCCAATTAACTTCAACAATATTGAGTAAGTTCGGGAGTACCTATAAGTACTTTGCAATGCCCACTTTGTGCCTTTACTGTAATTAACTTACTCATGTTTTGCAGTGCTTTCATAATTCTTGTGTTATAATACCAGTAGATGGTCGACACTACACCCCCTCCACTTTTTATTCGAGGTTTAATCCACCGATCTGCGCTCACTCGAATTGATTAGTTTCATTGGCGGTGCTCTGATTGGTTTTTTATATTTAGATTGTATAAAAATAACTGCCCCCTCCCTTTCCTAAATTGTCTAAAACATTCCTTCAAAAACATTGATACCAGCACTGCAATTTTGACTCACCCTATATTTACAGTTGGCAACTCTGAGAACCAATTACAAGCAGCGCCATCTAACTTTCCTGTCAAAATGGCAGATTTTTCGCGCCATTTTCAGATCTCGGTAACAGCCAGCAAAATCTACGCTATATAATGCAAGAAGAATCAAGCCCTTATATTGTTTCCCTTTTGTAGGTACCTCCCCCAAACATTTTATAGATATTCACAATTAAGTTTTTACATCGACGTCCGGTAGATGTGTTTGGTCTACACGTCCTCTCTGCCCTTTGAAAGTACCCTACTCCGACACTCCGTTCTGCGGATATTTGCGCTGAAAGTTTTGACGTCACCAATAGATATGTCTCGACCTGACGTTCAACTTCCCGTTTATCAGTACCCTCCTCTTACACTTCGTTTACAGGATCTTCGCTTCGACTTCACCATTGGATATGTATGTCTCGTCCATTTTGCCTTTTTGGGTACTTTCCTTCGATAAACTATTTGAAAGATATTCGCTCGTAAAGTGTTGACATCGCCAATAGATATATTTCTTTCGGACGCCCCAATCGCCCTTTGTGAGTACCATTCTCCAATAATCTGTTCTTGAGATATAAGGAATTATTTATATCCGATCACGATAAGGGGTCGAAGAGAACTGTGGTGGGTAGAAATTATTCCTCTCGTTGAGGCCTTTCATTAGAGTACCATGAAGAACCAGTTCCACCCCCCCCCCCACCCCTTCTTACGATAAGTCAGAAAGAAAGACGTTAGTTGGTTAAAAAACAGTTCCTTTTGTTGAGACGTTTAAGTAGAATACTTACCATGAAAGATAAAATTCACTTCCACCCCCTTTCTCCCCCCCCCCCCCCCCGGTCACCTACTGATCTCGAAAAAGAGTCGCACAGGAAAGTTTAGTTTGTACAAAGCAATTCATTTTGGTGAGACCTATTAGAATACCATCAAGGATAGAAGGTGTGCCCCCCCCCCATTTTTTTTAAAAACACTGGGCACCTCTAACGGCATACTTCTGCACAATCTGGGACCATTTGGTTGTCGCATGTAAAAGTTATTCACGTTTTACTTTCAAATAATTTTCAATTTCTCAGTGAATAATTCATGGAGGGGGCGCTTCCTCGAGACAACACTTTGATGACTGCCTGGCACACTTTCAAGGTATAGAGTACGTATTGCAAAACCATTCCCCTAAAAGTAGTGCAAAACCTAAGAAGTGGGTCGGATTGACGGACGGACGTACAAAACGCAAACAATAGCACATTGTTGTTGAATTCTTAAAAAATTTTTTTTTTTATTGAAAGGTCCTCGTAACTTTTAAATAGATGGCTCTATCTATTGGGGATTCTGGAATAATTAGTGAACGTATTCACCTAAAAACTCCGCAGTGAGGATATAATTGCGTTTTTTCTTCCTTATTGTAAGTACCGCTATTTACTTGAAGCGTACCTTTTCTTTAAATTCGGCTGTCATCTGTTATACCACAATTTTCCACTACTTCATCTACAATTAGCCCCCTTATTTGTGGGTATGTACATTTTATGACATCAACGAAGAGGGTTACCTTAGATTTCTTTTAGGCTTGAAGTTCGGGCTCGACTTTTTAGTTTTAATTTTAGTTCAAACTCAAATTTTATTCAACTGTAAGGACCAGCTTGAGCTTCGGAGACGCTTTACCTACTATTCTGTTGACGTACGAATTTGGGGCAACCTTGTCTGCAAGCGCCGACGCCCTTGACATATTTCCCAGTCGAACTAAAAAAACACGACCTCAAGCTTCAACTGGTAAAACACGACCATACCCCTGGCCGAACAAATTAATGAGTTCATGTCTGACTTCAAATTCCAAACAAGAAGTACCGTTGGCATATATAGAGACACCATTGGAAAGTTTTGGCATGGGAAACAAATGGATACGTTCAGCCGGGCCAGTGCTGTCATAGCGCCAATATACCGGTACTATTGAACGCACAGCTGGCGTTTGGCGTCCGTCATTTTTTCTCAGTTAAAATACTTTCCTAAAAGTCCCCGCTACCAAATGTTATTGGTCTGATTTTGAAATGTGATTCGAAAATACACCTGAAAAGAGCATTCCTTGGGCAACAAGAATCAACCAAAATATAGTTAATTTAGTTGAATCATTCAACGCCAGGGGGCGAGTTTTGACACTATGATCCAAAATCCTAAAAAAATCTAAAAAATCAAATGGAATGATATGACTGTTTCTTTATGAAAAAGTAGCCAAATAACACACAAAGAGGCGAGTGTAAACAGTTTTTCAAAATCTCGTTCCTAATCTCAAATATTAGGAAAATGAGATTAATTAATTAATAAATAAAAATGCTTAAATTGTATTTTATTCGGCGTATTTCCGGTATTTGCCGATGGCGCGAAAGATTTTTTGGAAAAGGACCCTACACTTTTAGGTAGGCGTTGAAAAATTAAACAAATGAAACACGATGCACTATAAAATAAAAACAGCCGTAATTTGTACTGTAAATTATTCTGCTGTGTTTACATTCAGAAAGTGCTGTTTTTTGAATTTGTAATCTTTTCTAAAATGCCGACTTCTAACCAAGAAGCATTTAATATGCTGGCGGCGATGGTTCGTGGTCGATTCGGATAACGCAAATAGAAGATGAGGGCACCGATGGTCGCATTTTGAAAATACTCAAAATATATCGTCAGCATATTAAATGCTCCTTGGTTAGAAATCGGCATTTTAGAAAAGATCACCAATTCAAAAAACTGCAATTTCTGAATCCAAACAGCAGAAATAATTTACAAATTAGGAATGGATTTTCAAATGCTTTTTTTTAATGAATTGAACCTAACCTTATTTTTTGAATGGAACACCCCGTATATTTTTATCTAAAAGATGGCATCTTTAATCCTTTTTTCAAAAATATAACAATTAATTTAGGAAATGTTTACATTGATTCAAAAAAGATTTGAGTAATTTGAAGCTAACCTTATTTTTTAAATGGATCACTCTGTCTTTTTAATCTAAAAGATAGCATATTAAATTTTCTTTTCAAAAATGTAACATTAAAAAAATTCAAGAAATGTTTGTATTAATTCAAAAAAGATTTTAAAATGCCTTTTTAACAATCGTTTGCACCTTTTTTTTTAATGGAGCACCCTGTATATTTTTATCTAAAACATGGCATCTTAAATCCTTTTTTCAAAAATATAAGTAATTTAAGAAATGTGTACATTGATTCAAAAAATATTTTTTAAAAATTCAGAAATCTGAAATGTTTGCATCATTTGAACTTAATCTTATTTTTTAAATGGAACACCGCGTACAAAAAAAATTCAAGAAGTTTTTATATTCAAAAAAGGATTTTAAAAAAATTCAAAAATTTGAGTTTTTTTACTTTTTTGAATCATTTGAACGTAATCTTTTTTTTTAATGGAACACCGTGTATATTTTAATCTAAAAGATAGCATTCTTTTTTCAAAAATATAATAAGTAATTCAAGAAATGTTTACATTGATCCAAAAATTCAAAATTCACAAAAGTATTTTAAAAAATTCAAAAATTGAATTTTTTGCCTTTTTTGAGTAATTTGAAGCTTATCTTATTTTTTAAATGGAACACCTTGTATATCTTATTCTAAAAGATAGTATATTAAATTCTCTTTTCAAAAATGTAACATTAAAAAATTAAAGAAATATATATTGCATCACAATAATTATTTGAACCTAATCTTATTTTTTAAATGGAGCACTCCGTATATTTTAATCTAAAAGAGGGCATATTAAATTCTCTGTTCAAAAATATAACGTTAAGTTAAATTCAAGAAATGTGTGTTTTGATTCAAAAAAGATTTTTAAAAAATTCAAAAGTCTGAATTTTTTGCTTTTTTTGAGTAATTTGAAGCTTATCTAATTTTTCAAATGGAACACCCTGTCTTTTTAATCTAAAAGGTAGCCTATTAATTTTCTTAAATTCAAGAAATGTTTATATTCATTCAAAAAAGGATTTTAAAAATTTTTTAAATTTTTTTGAATCAATGGAACCTAATCTTATTTTGTAAATGGAACACCCTGTATATTTTAATCTAAAAGATAGCACATTAAATTCTCTTTTCAAAACTGATACATTAAAAAATTCAAAAAATGTTTATATTGATTTTAAAAAATTCAAAATTTCGAATTTTATTTTATAATGCATCGTGTTTCATTTGTTTAATTTTCCAAGGTCTATCTAAAAGTGTAGGGTGCTTTTCTTTCGCGCCATCGACAAATACCGGAAATACGTAAAAAGTAAATCTAAGATACAATTTAAGCATTTTTCATAAAGAAAAAGTCATATCATTCCATTTGATTTTTTGATTTGTTTAGAATTTTGGGTCATAGTGTCAAAACTAGCCCTCTGTCAGAGAACGATTCAACTAAATTAACTATATTTTGGTAGATTCTTGTTGCCCAAGGAATGCTCTTTTCAACCATACCACATTTGTTAAAATCGGGCAAACGGTTAAGAAGTTAAAGCAGGTTATTGCAAAAACAATTAAACGCCCCACTCCATCTTTGTTTTTGAAA